GTGGCAATGATGTTAAAGGTCTTTTCCAATTTGAATGATTCTGTGGCAATGATGTTAAAGGTCTTTTCCAATTTAAATGATTCTGTGAGTCTGTGATTCCATGAAATGGGGAGAAAGTGCTTCTCAGCCCCTGCTTAGGAGAGCCTGGGGCAGGGCTGGCAACTGGTTCCCAGTTGAATTCTTTCTTTCTTTCCAGCATTTTCTTCTCTTGGATTCGACCATTTCAGTTTTCACCATTCGGGGAAAAGTTCACATATCCGTATAAAACCAATTTTAATTTCTTTTTTAATTTATTATTTTTAATTAATTTACCTCTCTTTTGGCATCACATTGAAACCACTCTCCGTTCCTCCATTTTTATAACCACGCACCTGAACCTCTCTCTTGTTCTCCACAAGCCCTGCAGCTTCCTGAGCTTATCCCCCTTCAGCATCATCGTGCTAAAAGCTCCTCTTTATTTTTTTCCCCTCCTCTTCTTTTCCCTTTCCCCCCAGTGTACGTGCTGTCGAGTTTGATTTATGGCCTTGAAAGGGAGACTCTCGTTTAAAGAATTAATGGTATTTGCATATTTTATTTGGAAACTCCCCCGGCAGACCCTCAGCAGCCCGGGCGGGTTTTTCCTTTCCCTTTTTTTTTTTTTTGTGTGTGTGTGTCTGGGCCGTTCAGATTTAGCAGCAGAGGTGAAAAGTTGAAACAGTAAAACCAATAAAACCACATTTATGTGACAGATAAATCGTTCCGAGGCAGCTCTCCCTGAGCCTTCGGGCTTCCTCCTCCCCAGCCCTCTCCCCTCCGGAGCACGACCCGGAGCGCCGGCGCTGCCCCCGGCAAAGGTGCCGGCCCTGGATATCCTCGGACCTGCTGAGCCGAAAAGATGGATGTGGGCAAACAGTTGGAAAATACACAGGCCATCCGTCACTGTCGGGAGCCAGCCGGGGGCAGTCGGGCTCTGAGGGAGCTCTGGGAAGGTCCAGCTTGAGGTGGGGGCGTTTGGAATCGTGGAATGGTTTAGGTTGGGAAAGAGCTCGAGGATCGTCGAGACCAACTGTTCTCCCAAGCGCTGCCAAGGCCACCACTGACCCATGTCCCCAAGTGCCACATCCACAGGGATTTTAAACCCCTCCAGGGATGGGGATCCACCACTGCCCTGGGCAGCCTGTTCCTGTGGAGAAATTTTCCTTAATATCCAATCTAAACCTGCCCTGGCACAGCTGGAGGCCGTTCCCTCTCCTCCTGTCCCTTGTTCCCTGGGAGCAGAGCCCGACCCCCCCCGGCTCCCCTCTCCTGTCAGGGAGTTGCAGAGCCAGAAGGTCCCCCCTGAGCCTCCTTTTCTCCAGGCTGAGCCCCCCCAGCTCCCTCAGCTGCTCCTGCTGCTCCAGCCCCTTCCCAGCTCCGTTCCCTTCCCTGCACACGCTCCAGCCCCTCCATGTCCTTCTTGTGAGGGGCCCAAAACTGCCTCCAGAATTCAAGGTGGGGTCTCACCAGTGTCAGCACCGGGACAGGCACTGCCCTGGTCCTGCTGCCACACAGGGCTGCTACAATCCAGGTGCCCTTTGCCTTCTTGGCCACTTGGGCTCATGTTCAGCCACAGTTGACCAGCACCTCCACGGAATTGGAGTGTCTCTGTCAGTTTGAAGCCATTCCCTGTGTCCTGTCCCTTCATCCCTTGTCCCCAGTCCCTCTCCAGCTCTCCTGGAGCCCCTTCAGGCCTGGCAAGGGGCTCTCAGCTCTCCCTGGAGCCTTCTCTTCTCCAGGGGAACCCCCCAGCTCTCCCAGCCTGGCTCCAGAGCAGAGGGGCTCCAGCCCTGGCAGCATCTCCGGGGCCTCCTCTGAGCTCCCGAGCCTCCGCCGCTTCCCTGTTTATAACAACTCCCAACATTTTAATTCCACCTTCTCCCAACCGCTTTCTACCCCTCACCTTTTCATTTCCCTGCTCCTTTCACCCTGTCCCCCCCGGCCCTTTATTCCTGTTCCCCACGAAGGGCTACCTGGCCCCTCGGGCGCTCCGACCATGCGCTTTTCCGCGGCGATAAACTCGATAAACTCGTCCTGCTTTGTTCGGGATTTGCCCGAGGCACGTTCGGCCTCCCCGGGCCACCAGCGAGAGGCCTTTGGTGCGTTGTGGGGGTTCCCATTTAGCCTCTACAACCGTCGCAACTTCTCCCAGCGGCCGACAAACCCCACACGGGAGGGCCTTGGCCCCGCCGCTCCCGCCTGAAAGGAGCCCGTGAAATCATCCTGGAGGTTGTCTCTTGGAGGTGCCAACCGTTGGAAAAACCTCCTGCCAACGATGTTCAGCTCGGCTTTGGAGTTGACACAATGGCCCCGGCGCACAAAGCCGAGCGGGACCGCGGGCTGGAAAAGGCCTCTTAGGTCCCGGCTAATCCGTCCCCCCCGCCAGCCCGCGGGATTGTTCCCGACGGCTTGTTTTTCTTTGCCCTGACCTACATAGTCAAAGAGAATCTTGTTGCACATTTTTGTTTTGTATCTCGAGGTCTCGGAGGAGCTAAATCCCCTTCTTGGCGGGGCAGGGCGCGTTGTTAAACAGCGCCGGAGCCTCCAGGAAAACCATGGAGACGCGGGGACAATGGGCCCTCTATGGTTCCGGCTTCTCCCGGCTTCTCCCGGCTTCGGTGGTGGGCGCCGGGACGCGCCGAGGCGGGAGATGAAGACGTCCACGCGCTTGGCAGCCCGTCCCCAAATAGAGTGGTCACAGCTGCTCTCCAAGACGGAATGTTTGGGGAGGGGGGGAGATGCAGAAGGTCTTAATTAACCTGGTTTAGATGGTGGAGGTGAAGGCTGCGTCCCATGGATCCTCAGCAGTGTCCGTGTGGGTGGGTGGGAAAGCCACTGAGGGATGAGGGAAAGACACGGGAGTCTCTTCCCCAGATAGAGTGGTCACAGCTGCTCTCCCCAGATAGAGTGGTCACAGCTGCTCTCCAAGATGGAATGTTTGGGAAGGGAGGGGAATGAAGCTCTTAATTAACCTGGTTTGGATGGTGGAGGTGAAGGCTGCGTCCCATGGATCCTCAGCAGTGTCCGTGTGGGTGGGGAAGCAAATAGTGTGGTCACAGCTGCTCTCCAAAGTGGAATGTTTGGGACAGGGGAGGGGAATGAAGCTCTTAATTAACCTGATTTAGATGGTGGAGGTGAAGGATACATCCCATGGATCCTCGGCAGTGTCCGTGTGGATGGGTGGGAAAGGTGCTCTGAGGGGTGAGAGAAAGATGTGGGAATCTGTTCCTAGATCAAGTGGTCACAGCTGCCCTCCAAGGTGGAATGTTTGGGGAGGAGGGGGGGAATGAAGCTCTTAGTAAACCTGTTTTAATGGTGGAGGTGAAGGCTGCATCCCATGGATCCTCGGCAGTGTCCGTGTGGATGGATGTGAAAGGCAGTGCTCCAAGGGGTGAGGGAAAGATTTTGGAGTCTGTGCCCAGATAGAGTGGTCACAGCTGCTCTCCAAGGTGGAATGTTTGGGAAGGGAGGGGAATGAAGCTCTTAATTAACCTGGTTTAGATGGTGGAGGTGAAGGATACATCCCATGAATCCTCGGCCGTGTCCGTGTGGATGGGTGGGAAAGGCAGTGCTCCGAGGGGTGAGGGAAAGATGTGGGAGCTCCTGTCTGGGTTTTAAGGAAAATAAGGAAATGGGATGGTGTGGAAATTTAGGAAAGCTGGTCTGTAGTTTGCTCGTCCCCCACCTGACTCCTCTGGGAGCGCTGGGGCACTTGTGGAGGTGACCAGGTGGGAATTTTGGAGATCTGGAGCAGGGACTGTCATGGTTGGCATGTGGGACTCTTGGGGCTGGTCCTGTGCCAGGCTGGTTGGTGAAGATGAAGGATGCATCCCATGTGTCCAACTGTGTCCATGTGGGTGGGAAAGCCGGTGCTCTGAGGGATGAGGGAAAGATGTGGGAGTCTGTTCCTGCTCTCCAGGATGGAATGTTGCACATTCCCTGGGGAGGAGAGGGAGAATGAAGCTCTTAAACCTGTTGTAGATGGTGAAGGCTGCATCCCACGGATCCTCAGCTGTGGGTGTGGGTGGGAAAGCCACTGAGGGGTGAGGGAAAGACATGGGAGCTCCTGGTTGGGTTTTAAGGAAAAAAAAGGGTGGGAACAGAGCATTTAGGAAGCCTGGTCTGTAGTTTGCTTGTCCCTCACCTGACTCCTCTGGGAGCACTGGGGCACTTGTGGAGGTGACCAGGTGGGAATTTTGGAGGTCTGGAGCAGGGACTGTCATGGTTGGCACATGGGACTTTTGGGGCTGGTCCTGTGCAGGGCTGGTTGGACTCCGTGATCCTTGTGGGTCCCTTCCAACTCAGCATCTCCTGGGATTCTGTAATTAACCCTCTTTTCCTCCCCCCCGCTGTTGGACCCGGTGGTTTCTCTCACAAAAAGGGCTGGAAAGCACCTGGGACTCCCAGGCTCTGGGAGATGCATCCACCCAAAATAATCCCCGGAGCTCCTGAGCGGGTCCCACACCTCCCCAGGGAGTTCTGCTCCTTGGAGGCACTCCCAAAGCACTTGGAAAGTGTTGAGATGGAACAAGTGTGGTGGGAGATCCCGGGGGAATGGGTCAAACTGCACCAAGGGTTATTTGGGGACTGAAGAAATCTGTGGTGACTTTGACCCCAAAAGCGTCCTCCTGCCAGGGTTGGGAGTGTCAGGGCTCTGAGGTCCTTCCCCACCCACCTTCTCGGGATGTCTCAAACCTCAAATCCACTAATTCACCCCAAAAATAGAGATAACGCAGCAGGAGTGCACTATAAATTAACATAGTCATGCATAAATCAGCATTAAATATTCATAAAATAATAACACTTGATAATTAAACATTAGCAGAACCATAATAAACAAATTAATAAAGCCTTCAAGCCATTTTTGGTGGTGAACTCCACCTGTCCAGGACCTTTGCCAGCTTCCAGCTAAACCACCTGCTCCCTTTTCCAGCTTTTTTAAAATCTTTTATCCGTTGTTTTTGTTTTTTTTTTTCCTTTTCCAGCTCTTGGATCTGTTCATCCAGTGGGATTGGTCGACGTATTTGGCTGACTACGGGCAGCCCACGTGCAAGTACCTCCGTGTGAACCCCACGACTGCCCTGGTCCTGCTGGAAAAGTGAGTGTGGCTCCGGAATCCCGGGATAGTTTTCACCCCAGTCTTGCTTTGGCAGCTCATTCCATCCTGGTGGTGCTGGGATGGAGCAGCTCGGAGAGAGCAGGAGGCTCCCTGGGATCCAGGGAACAAAGATTCCCCCCCCCGGGTGGACAGTGGGAGCTCAAATAGGAAATTCCTGGTTTATCCCTCTGACCTGAATCCCGGTTTTTATCAAAATTCAAGGACTCGGCTGAGGGTCTGTGTTTTTATTTCACTCCTAAGCAGAGTTTTCATTGTCTTACAACAAAATTCCACTGTAAAGGTGGGATCTCAGGCCCCAGAATGATTTAAAATTTGCTGGTCTGCAGGCACGAGATATTCAATATACAATATATATCAATATTGTATTGTATGAATTATTATATAATACATATTTTTATATATATGTGTATATATATAAAAATATACATATATATGTATGTATAAAAAAAATAGACAAGGTATTCTTCCACTATCTAGTCTAAACCCATCCCAAATTTTGCAGTGTTTAAGAGGCATTTGGACAATGCCCTTGACAGCAGGATTCAGCTTCTGGTCAGCCCTGAAGTGGTTGGGCAGTTGGACCAGATGATCCTTGGAGGTCCCTTCCAACTGAAAATATTCTATTATTATATTCTATTATTATTATTATTATTATTATTATTATTATTATTATTATTATTATTATTATTATAATATTCTATTATTTCTATTTCTGTTATTTCTACTCCCATCTCCCTTCTGTTGGATCCACGGAGAGGATCAAGTGCTAAAAGCCCTGTGGGACAGGGACAGTGCCTTTAGGTGACCTCCAAGCTGTCTTTGGGAGGATCCACTCCCCTCCTGCCCCCTCAGACCTGCTGATGGGACAGAGAAGAGACCAGCCAAAAATGATAATTAATAATTATCCAAGCAGCTCGTTCCATGGGCGCCCCACCGCTAAATCTTGCATGGAGGAACAGGCAGGATAAAACCATCATGGAATCATGGAATGGTTGGCTTGGGAGGGACCTCAAAGCCCATCCAGTGCCACCCCCTGCCATGGGCAGGGACACCTTCCACTAACCCAGGTGGCTCCAACCTGGCCTTGGACACTCCCAGGGATGCAGTTGGGTTTGAGTAGGTTGAGGCCACACTTCTAGAACATCCAAGGCCAGGGGGTGGGACTGGATGTCCTTAAAGGTCCCTCCCAACCCAAATTATCCTTATGAGTGACCTTGGTGTGTTCCTGAGCTTTGGAGCTGCATCATCTGAGGTCCACATAACCTCCCCCTCCTCTCCAGCAGAGGAAAAGAACTCGTTCCACAGCATCTCGTGGCATCCAGATGTGGCCAAATGGTCCATGGGGATTAAACTCCGGGAGTTTTCTGTGTTTAAAGCACTTTAATACCACGGAGATGGTTGTTCTGGGGGTACTTCATGTGTTGTGGGATGTGTTATTTAGGGACGTGGCCTTGGCAGTGTGGGGTTAATGGTTGGATTGGGTGATCTTAGAGGGCTTTTCCAACCTAAATAATTCTGTATTTCTGTGATTTCCCAAGCTGACATCCTGGGCCATCCCACCCTTGAGGGAAGGGAAGCACCAGAGATTCGTGATGCCAAAGCCTGAGGGGTTTTCAGGGCCATTGGTAAAATGGTAAAATAAAGAGCCATCAAAAATCTGAGCCCTTGGACACGAAGCAGCTGGAAGAGCCAGGGAGTTGGAGGCAGGCAGTGAGCTGGGATCCATGGCAGTGGCTGGGAAGGCAGTGGGACAGCAGGAGAAGCAGCTCCACGCTCGGTGATGTTATTAAGGAGCCACCAAACCCCAGCTTGACTTGCTTGGATCTCCTCTAAAGGGATCTCATTTCATAGTCATGGAATCATGGAACGGTTTGGATTGGAAAGGACCTTAAAGGTCATCCAGTTCCCCACCCACACCTTCCACTAGCCCAGGCTGCTCCAGCCTGGCCTTGGACACTTCCAGGGATCCAGGGGCAGCCACAGCTTCTCTGGGCAACCTGTGCCAGGGCCTCCCCACCCTCACAGGGGAGAATTCCCTCCCAATATCCCATCTAACCCTGCCTTCCTTCAGCTTAAGGCCATTCCCCCTTGTCCCATCACTGCTTGCCATTATGGAAAGGAATTTGAAGGACGATCTTCACGTATCCAATTGAATTTCTGGAGAAACCCCCAGTGAAATCACCGGGTTGGCACTTGCGTGTCCCTCATCCTTGTGCCATTCCAGCTCTGCCCTCTCCCCACTCGGACTTCAGGCCCTTTTGGGGGGGTCTCTGTCCATCACCCACCAGCTCCAGCTCTCCTGAGTGTCCTCCCTGAGCTCGGTGCTCCCCAGCCCTCGAGGCAGGGGGGAAATTCCGATGCTCTGGCTCGTTTTGTGACCCGTTTCCATCATTATCTCTTTTCCCAACGACACATCTCTCCCAGGATACCCCGAGTGTAAGGACTCTGCCTGCCTGGGCTTTCACCCTCACCTTGCAGTGCCTTGATTGTTTGGTTTAAATGGAGCACTAAACGATGGAAATGCAAACTGCCTTTGAAAACGGGGCCCTCCGGGAACTTTGGCGTCTCAAATGCACTAATTAGAGCTAAAAGAGGAGCTTTTACTCCCTTCCCTTTTTTTTCCTTATAGATTAATTTAAACAAAGCTCGGCTCTGTTGAAGGGGGTGTTTGTTGACAGGGGTGGGGACGGAGCTGAGCTCTCTCTTTCCCTTCCTTTCACTTCTCATCCCGGCGCTGACGTTACAGACCCGGGCTCGGTCGTCCCAGGGCTCCTCTCAGAGAAATGGAACTGTGAATCTGCACAGCACAACCCAAATCCTGCAGGATTCGGTGTCCTGTGGGGAATTTAATTCATCAGTAATACTTCATGGCTCAGTGCTTCTACCTCCACGTGGTGTCTGGAGGAACCAGCAGCTCCCATCCCTGCCAGGCTTTAACTGGCCCACCTGTGGGTTTGTTGTGGGATCAGTGCTCCAACTGCAATTCCTTAACATCCTGATCCCGTGGTTTTATCCATCCAGCTCTCCTCTAATCACTCAAACACACACAAAGGTTTTCTTGCATAGAGCATGTGTTGCTTCAGAAATACTTCCTGGACCTGAACAGATCCCACGGGGTCAGAGATGGCTCTGAGGATGCCTTAGGGCAGAGAATGTCCTGTTCTAAATTCCCTGTGTGCCACCTGCAGCAGGCAGGGATGGAGAGTGGTGGATATAACATTGGGAGCAGATTTCTGAAGGTACAAGTTGACTTTCAGCACCTCTGGTGTCCCCATGTACCCTGGGAGAGCTCTCAGCATTCCTGGTGAAACTCTTTGAGGCCTCTGGAGCTGTTCAGAGCTGTGGAAGTGCCCAAAATTCATGATCCTGGGACAGGTCTAACCCGGGCAACTCCAAACTCCTCTTCCCACAGGCACGGTTGCTCCCTGGTTCTTGCAGGGGAGCAGCTGGAAGCCATCTCTGGCAAAAAAAGACCCAGGGAAAATAAAAAAACAATCCTTATTTTGCTGAATTCAAGTGCTCCAGGCTGTCCAGTTACTGTAGGGAAAGCAGTTCCCTTGTAATCCCATGTCTTTGGGCATTTACTGCTCCAGTAAATTAGCCTTTGGGATAAAGTTGTTATCCTTGTTTCCACTTCCAAGCTGGATGTTTTTGGGAACATTTCAGATTCCCTTTGGCTCTTTTCAGGAAGATTGAAGCATGAAGACCCTTGGATATTTTTTGTGTAATGAGTTAAATGATTTCAGGAGCTTTGGGTTGTGCTCAATTAACCCCAAACCCCCCCGGGGCTGATCAAAGTGCCAACTTCCCAGGGAATATCAGTGCTGTGTGTCCCCGTCACTTTAATCCTTGTTTTTGGTCTCCAAAGCCAAAAAAAACAGGATTGTGGGATGCATCCAAAGCCCCTCAGCCTCTGCCAGATCTGATTTACCCAGAAAATCAGGTACAAATCGGGGTGTTGTGGAAGAGCTGAGCCCCAACCAGTTGGGTGATGGGAGGTTGGTACCTTCAGGAGCTGCTCAAGGGTTGATCCTGGTGGGGAGGTTTCCCTTCCCAGACCAGTGTGTTGCTTCAAAAAAGCTGGATTCCTTCCTTAAATATCAATTATTTCATGTTATAATTAATATAAATTATATGTATTTATATAACATACGTATTGTATATGTTGGGCAACCTTGGCTAGTGGAAGGTGTCCCTGCCTGTGGCAGGGGGTTGGAACCAGGTGGTTTTAAGGTCCCTTCCAACCCAAACCATTCCATGATTCCATATAATATTTTAAGTTCACAACTCCAGACCTTTCCAACCTCCACAAAAAGCCTCGTGCAACGCACCATTTCAAGTTAAACCCCTTCATTCCGTGGATTTGATGCTGATTTTTTAATTTCCTCCCGAAATCACGTCTCTGTCGTGCACCGCTTCAGAAGGGACCTGTTTGGAGGGAGAGGCTTTAGGGCTTGATGGATTTTGTCACGGTGGTGACACTGATTGGGATTTGTGAGGCTCAGAGCAAAAATACCAACTGTGCAAAGGCAGAACGATGCCCCAAAACGCGACAGAGCCCTCAAATTCAGGCGCCTCCTCCCCGAACGCTCGAAATTCCCACGTGATTCCCTCCCGGGGCTCGGGGGGCGACGACCCCTTGTGCCATAACCTCTTTCTGCTCTGCGCAGGATGAGAGACACGAGCAGGAAAAACAACGTTTTTGCCCAGTTTCGGAAAAACGAGCGGGACAAGCAGAAGCTCATCGACACCGTGGCCAAGCAGCTCCGCGGCCTCATCAACAGCCACCACTCCTGAGGGAGCTGGGCACCTCCTTCCCAAACCACCCCCCCCTGGACTTGGGATCCTTGTTGAAAGAGAATATATGTATTTTTTTATTCACCTGTAATATTCCTGGAACCTTCCCCCTCCTCCACCCCCCCCTCCCCCTTTCCCAAAACGCTCCCGGTGAAACAATCCCTGGGAAAAGAGGCTCGGAGGGGGCGTCGGGAGGCTCCTGGGATAAACTCCTATTTTCAGGGGTTTGGAAAGCCACTGGGAAATCCTAAAACCTGAGAGGGAAGCTCACACCTGGGCTGTTTTCTTGTTGGATCGAATAGATTGAAGGGATCATCCTGCTTTCCTTTTGTTATCCACAAAAAACGGAAGGAGGAGTCGCGGTTTGGGTTCTTCTCGTGGGCTCCGATCAAAGGGAAGAGGGTCATCTGTTACTGTGTCTTGCCAGCTTGTGGGTTGGATTTAGGTAGGAGAAAAGGCAAAGTGATTTCCCAGTTTTTCTCCTCGTTTTCCCCTCTAAGAGCTGATTTCCACCTCAGGAGAGGGAGATCCCTGGGGATCCCTGGAGCTGCGACCTTTTCCCGTGTGTCCGTGACCGGCGTGGCCACCCCTGAGCTCCGCCACCGGGACCTGCTGGGGCCTGTGGGCCTGTCACTGGGTGCAGAAGGGCTTTAGAGCTGCCTCATTAATTAGATTTGGAAAGGGAGAGCCAAAGGATAACCCGGCAGGGCGTCCCGTGGAACCGGATTGGTGCTGGAATGCTGCTGGAATTCGGGCAGCAGGAATGGAGGGGTGGTGTAAAACTGAGCTCTCCTGCTGTCCAGGGCACTGCATTCAGGGGTTTTCCCTCTCTTTTCCATGCTGGTGTCCCATCTTCCCTCTCCTCTTGATGCTTCCATGGGGTAAAGCTCCTTTGCTTCCCTTGGTTTGCTCCTTGGAGCAGCCCTGGATGGGACGGGGAGTGGGAAACTTGTGGAGTCCCCGGCATGGAGTCAGCAATGCTCAGCCCCCCCCCGGCTCCAAAGTGCCTGTGGACAAAATTCCCCTCAGCTCTGAAGGTTCCCAAAGATGCTCTGCTGGAATCAGGCAGCTTTTGAGGAGCAGGGCAACATTCCCACCAGGATTTTAGGGTTCAGGTTACTGAGGGGGATTTTCGCCCTCATCACCTCGTTACCCTTTTGACTCCCGAGTCCAGCAGGTGAAAACTTATCCAGCCACATTCCCCACCTCCCAGAACCCTCATGGTAAAGGGAATTAAAATCTTCCTGGTGGATGTTACAGCCCATTTCCCACCCTCTGGGATGCACGAAGGGGATGAGGCTTTATCCTCTCTCCTTGTTCCTCAGCGAGACTTTTGGGTTTTTTTTTTTGGTTTTGGGAAGGATTCGTGTTGCTTAACCCTGGAATTGAACAGGAATGTGGTCAGGAATGACCTCCTGGGGCTGTTGTCCTGCCCCAGCCGCCTCCATCCATGAGGACCAAGGGATTATTTTCATTACTAAGAGGGAAAGCCCATCCTGGCATTGTGGTTCCTTGGTTTCGGAGGGGGATCAGAGGCGAATTCCTTTTTAATGCCTCTTGGAAGGACATGGAAGGAGGGTGAAGGAAAAAGAAGCAGGTGGAGGAAAGTTGGTGTCACGTGGCCAGAAATGGATCATCTTTGTAGACAAACCCCCAAATGACCCAGCAGAGGCTTCCAGGGGGACCAGAGGAACTCAGTCAGGCTGTGGGATAAAGGGAGAAGGATCGGGATCCCCAAATTTACGGAAGGGGTTTTGGTGGACGAAACATCTGTTGCCACCCTGAAATTCCATTTTTGCCTCCTGTATTCCATGTTCCTACAAGAAAACCTCAACCCAGCTGGGCCTTGAGGCAACACCTTTTTTCTAATCCCCATCCCACATCCAGGCTCTCCTTCCCATCTCCATCCAAGAGCTTCAATTCCCAGAGGGGCGACGCGGCCGTGCCGTGCCCGGGGTGGGTTCCTTCACTCTTTTAAGCTCTTCTTGGAGAAGTTGGGATTGGGATCCCACAAACCAGCTCCTGGCACTCCAGACTTGCCACTGGGAAAGTCACATTCGGCCAAGGGAGGGATTCTGGGAGTTCCTGATTTCGGGAGGTCAAGAGCCTGAACCGCGAGTGGCAGCCCCGGGATGAAAAATGACATTTTTGGTGCTCTGGTCCTAATTAACTTTTTGTTCCAAGAGATGCGGCTCCATCCCCTTCCAAATAAAATTAATCTTTGGAACAGATTGCCTAAAGAGCCCTGGAAGACATCCCAAATCCCCTCTAAGTCCCCTGCTAATGACGGGGATCCTCCGCTGGGGATGGAGCTGCTCAGGAGGGAAAGGGAATTTCTATGGAAGGTGGGAAGAGGGAGCAGAACCCTCAAGTGAAGATTTACAGCCCCCCCCCAAATAAATAATGCTGCTATAACCCCTCCCTCCCCAGGCACTTAAAGGGTTTGAGTTTCTAAGCAGTGGCTGTAGAAGAAAAAAAAATGAGATTGTTCCCCCGGTTTTTCCAGCAAATATTCGCAAAAATATTCCAGGAAAAAAACCCCAAACAAACAGCACCAGGTGGGGGGAAAAAAATACATTAACAAAAAAAAAACCCACCCAATTTTGGCTTCCTGGGAAGCATCTGCACTTCTTATCCTCTTTATCATCTTGTCAGGCAGCCCAAGGGTTGGGAATAATTCTACGTAAGGTGGGAATTTGCAGCCCAAAGTGTATCCATAGGTGAGGGGAGTGTTCTCCCTGAGCCATCAGCGCGTGTGAGAGAGAGGAGGAGGCTTTTCCTGGGATTTTTTTTGGTGTATTCCAAGGGCTGGAGTTCAGGTCAGACGCCCTCAGCGATTTTTTGCACTTTGTTTTGGATCCAACCTCAGCTCCCGGCTCGGAGGGGGCCGGGAGAAGTTTGGCTGGTGCTTCGTTCCAGGGGCTGCTTTTGGGCTCGTTTCCTTCAAAATCAGCTGCTTCTGTGCTGCTGGGAAGGTGGAATTTTGGGGCAGGAGGTGTGTGTGTGTGGGGAGTCTGTGCTGGCCCCAAACTGGGAGGTGCTGGGAGGCAACGTGGGATGAGGAGGCTGAGATGGAGCCAGGGCTGCTCCGGTGACCTCTTGTGCTGGAGCTGCTTCTGGGGGAAAACCACCCCTTCCGAGCAGTGTCCAAACCCCAGGGAGAAACATCTCCACCCTTTGGATGTTTCCTACCCCTGGCTGGCTTTTCCCTTTAGTTCTGGGTTGAGTTTGGTGCTTTTTTGGGGGACCGTGGAGTGGTTTGGAGCATGGGAACACCCTCCCAGGCCCCCGTTGGGTGTGTGTCCCACCCCAGGGTGCCACGGGGCTGGTGGGATCTCTGTGTCCCATTCCCTACAGCTCCCCACTCCGTGCTTGTCCCACTGCTGGGGAGCTTGAAGGGAGCACAACTCCCAAATAAATCTCATCCCAAATGCCTTCAAGATGCTCCCAGCCCAGCTGTCCACTGGGAAAGTTGTGAGTTTTGTGGGAACCGACCCAAATTCCCCGGGATCTGGGTGGGATTCACCCCAAAAAAGTGCCGGATGGAGAGGGGGAAGCTCAGCCTGGGACTTGGGGACCGGGTGATTTGCTTCATCCCAGATTTGCTGCTCCGGTCTCCAACCCCTGGATTTAGGAATCTTTGCATCCATCCCCCCCTGCAGCTCCCCCAGTTTTCGGGGGGGGGCCAGCACCCCAAAAATTCCACGGGCAGCTCAGGCTTCTGGAATGCTGTGTGTGCCGAGCTCTTTCTGCCTTGGCTCATCCCTCTGATCCAGTTTTGACAGGAAAACACTCCATCCCGATCCCTGCCCCCATCCCAATCCCTGCCCCCATCCCAATCCCTGCCCCCATCCCAATCCCCCCCTGTCCACCGGCTGCTTGGGTTGCCTTTTCTCACATTTTTTTTTTTTGGGGGGGGGGGAAGGCCGTGATTTTGTAAACTGACGTGGTGAAAAAACAGCTTTTTTTGCACAAGTCGTTGCACAATAAGGGGAGAGTTTAGTAAATTAGGTTTAACTTTAAAGGGAACACATTTTTGGTTTTGGTTTTGTTTTTTTTCCTTAAAACTCACTAGCAGAGCTACTGATTAAAAAAAAAAAGAGAAGGCAAAGAGCTGGACTGATTAAGGAATGGACTGCATGGTTTCCAGGTGGAATTGCTTTAGAATTTAGCATGTTGAATTCCAACTGTACATTTATCCTGTTGTAACTTCTATTAAACAATACAGCAATTAACTGTTTAATTAATCAAGTGCCTGTGCATCGCTGGGAAGGCTGGACAAAAAAACCCTAAATCCTAGAAAATTATAAAATTCAAGGTCTCTTTTGGACAAGCAGCACACCGGGATGGGGGAACTTGGGGTCCTCCTGGGAAGGGTGGTGGGCAGGTTCCATGGAAGGCTCGGGCGGATGACAAGGTTCAATGTGTAGGAGTGAAGGATTTAGGGAATATTCACGGGCTGGGAGACTCCCTGCTGCAAAGCAGAGAATCCTGGATGGTTTGTGTTGCAGGAATTCCTCTAAACCCCTTTTTTTTAAGCGATTTTTCCCTTTTGGGATCTGTCAGATCCTGGGGCAGGGAGTCCCAGGTGTTAATTTTCAGAAGGAAAAGCCCTGCCTGGTGGTGTTTGTCATTCGACCTCTGCCAGGGGCAGAAAAGGGTGAAAGGAGGATGGCAACCTCCCACAGTTCATCAGAATGTTCTTGGCTGCTTCTGTTGGCAATCGTGGACAAAAGGAAAAGTGCCACCTGACCCAGCTGCAGGTCCAGATGGGATCCCAAGAGTGCAGGAAGCCCCCCAGGGGACCCGGTACCTGGATCAAGGACCTTCACATCAGCCCCTGTTGCCTTGGCCTGGTGGATTTTGGGAGCTGAGCCGTGCTCAGAGCAGCCTGGATGTTCCAGTTTGGGGCCATTTACCCCAGGCAGGAGAGATGGAGACGTCCTGCAGCTCCTGGGAGGATGAGATGGGATCCAGCACCGTGGGACTGCCCTGGGAGATGGTGGGCAGAGCCCTCGGACCCTGCCGGCCTCTGGAGTGGGGAGGAGCAGCCACAGGTAGGTTTGGGGGCCTGGATGTGGGAGTGGGGTCACACCAAGGACCGCGGGCTCTGCCAGCACCTAAATCCATGCTCAGAGTGGGGCCAAACCCCCCCCCCAGCTCTGGGGCTGCCCAGAGTCACTTGTCTGGCTCTGGGCCACCAACCCCTTCGCCCTGGGTGTCCTCAGGACACCTCAAACCACCCCCCAGCCCGTGCAGGGGCTGCCAGAGCCCAGTTTTCATAGAATCATGGAATATCCTGAGCTGGAAGGGACCCACAGGGACCATCCAGTCCAACTCTGGCCCTGCCCAGGACACCCCAACAATCCCACCCTGCGCCCCAGAGGATCATCCAAACCCTCCTGGAGCTCTGGCAGCCTTGGGGCTGTGCCCACTGCCCTGGGGAGCCTGGGCAGTGCCCAACCACTCTCTGGGGGAAGAACCTTTCCCTAAAATCCACCCTGCCCCTGCCCTGGCACAGCTCCAGCCATTCCCTGGGTGCTGTCCCTGGGGATGGTGCCAGGAATGGCCCCGTCCATCCAAGGAACAGTCCCTGTTACAAACCCTCCCCAGGAACATCCTCAGGCACCTCTGGAGAAGACCAAGTTGGGATGGTGCATCCATGGGGGCAAGACGTGGTCCTCCACCCCCACTGAGCCCCTGAGCTGACCCCGTGTCCCTGGGTAAGTGCAGGGAGCATTCCCTGAGCCCTGGGGTCACTCCTTTGGGTTGTCCAGGCTCTTCTCCTCTCTAAGAGTTCCTCTTTTTGACTGTGCTGTTTCTGCCCTGGGATTTCCCATCTCCAGCGTCTCAGGAATTGCCTGGCTCTTCCCACAGGTGGGATGGAGGCCAAGTGTGAGTCCAGCTGAGTTCTCCCCTCCAGAGATGCCCTGTGGGGTCTGCAGGAACCACGAGGAAGAACATCCAGCACAACGTGCTCAGACCCTGTAGATGCTCCTGCCCTCTGCAGTGGGACAGGAGCTCTGGAGGTCTCCAGGTCAGTCCCCTCCTCCAAGCTGGAGATCACCCAACAAGGTTTTCTTTCCTGCTGCATGTTTTCCAAAGCTGAATCCCAAACCCACACGCAGGGAGGGTTTTTTTTTTTTTTCCTCGAGTCAGGTGAGACAAACCCTTTTCAACAGATACTCCTGAGCATTTATTTCCTCCTGTCTCTGTCCCTTCTTGCCTTCACCTCGATTCACCTCTTAACCTCCTTCCTGGATGAGATTGGCTGAGGTTGCAGGGGAGTGGAGTTGTCAGGTGAGCCTGTCTCCAGCCCCTGGGATTTCTCTTCCATAAGGGAGCCAGGGAATGGAGCTGCCATGGGACACAGGAAGGATTTGGGGTTGGAAGACACCTGCATCAGGCTGGGGGCTTGCTCTCTCCTCGTGTCCCATGTACAGGACTGTCATCCAAAGCTGAAAGAGGGTAGATTTGGGTTGGATGTTGGGAAGAAATTCTTCCCTGTGAGGGTGGTGGGACACTGGAATGGATTTCCCAGAGAAGCTGTGGCTGCCCCATCCCTGGGAGTGTCCAAAGACACATTGGACAGGGCTTGGAGCAACCTGGGCTAGTGGAAGGTGTCCCTGCCCATGGCAGGGAGGGTGGAATTAGGTGGCTTTTTACATCCCTTCCAACCCAAACCATTCCGTGATTCTGTGATTTCTTCTACCACGAGTCAAAAAAATCCTTCAGTGAGCTCCTTCCCACCCCTGGGAGCCGGGAAGGAGCAGGAAGGTGGACACTGGACCAGAAGGACCACCAAAGTTTTGCAGGAGTGAAGAGTTTAAAGCAGAGGTGGAGGGAGGAAGCAGATAAGACACAGCTGTCACCACTTGCCCGCGGAGCAGGTGAGGGAGGTTGGGAGAGCAGATAAATGTGGGAGAGGAGGAGATGGTGCAGGGATAACATGACCTGAGATAAGGATGGGTGAGGTGAAGCAGGTAGGGAAGGGATTGCACCTTTCCTGGCAGGGAAGCCTGGATGAAATCCAAGAGGAATGAGCACAGAGCATTACGTACCCGGTAAGAAATGTGGGCACGGAGACATGGGAGGTGGAGCAACCGGATTTGGGATGAGAAACTGGGTCAGGCAGGGAGCAGCAGAGCAGCTGGGGTGCCAAGAGAGGGCAAGGGTGGTCAAACAGCAAAGGTGAGGGTGGTGGCATTGTTGTGTGGTGGGGATGGAGCAAGGTGGGATTGCTTGGGGTCAGGGTGGGGTTGCTTTCCTGCCTTTTGCTCTTCCACTTCTCCACAGCGTCGTGGTTCAGACTGGAAGAAACCCACAGAAAAGGGGAAAAGTGTCTTTGAGGTGAATATCCTAAATATTGCCCACTCTGAGGGATGAACCTTAGTGCTTTGTGTAGGGCATCTGATCCCCAGGTGGGGCTGGGCTTTGTTTTCTTATCCCCAGCTCCATCCTTCACATCCCCAGGTGGGACTGGGCTCCATCTTCTTATCCCCAGCTCCATCCTTTATGTCCCCAGGTGGGGCTGGGCTCCATCTTCTTATCCCCAGCTTCATCCTTCACATCCCCAAGTGGAGCTGGGCTTCATCTTCTTGTCCCCAGCTCCATCCTTCACATCCCTGGGTGGGACTGGGCTCCATCTTCTTATCCCCAGCTCCATCCTTCACATCCCCAGGTGGGGCTGGGCTTCATCTTCTTGTCCCCAGCTCCATCCTTCACATCCCTGGGTGGGACTGGGCTCCATCTTCTTATCCCCAGCTCCATCCTTCACATCCCTGGGTGGGACTGGGCTCCATCTTCTTATCCCCAGCTCCATCCTTCACATCCCCAGGTGGGGCAGCCCCTCCACTCCACGGTTCCAAGCCCCACGTGGCTCCGCGGCCCCGCTAATTCCATTCCCCCGGGGGGCCGTAATTGGATGAGGGCTCGGGAGAGCCATGGATCAAAGGCAGGCTCCCATCCATATCTGCCTGGCCCCCGATGTGATTAGCAGGGGCAGCACATCCATCACGGGCTGCCCCTCCCTGACCCAGCGCCGGGGCCGGGCAGGTAGAGCGCCGGGGAAATCGGATTTGCTCACGGAAAGGTTAAGCGAGGCTGGGGATGAAAAATGATCCCGCTGCCGCGTCTGCTCGGCAGCCATTCATCTCCCGGGATGGAGGGGCTGCCCGGGCTGGCTCTGGGAGATGATCACTCAACGTCAGGGGGATGTGTGAAGTGTTAAAGACCCCCCGGCGGGGCACGGGACGCTCGTTTGTATTCATTAGTCGGGCGGCTGCAGATGTCGGCGGCTCTTTGAGGGGGCACAGACGCACGAGTTTGCTGCCCAGGTCCTCTCTTGCAGGCCTTGGTGAGGTGCTGGGGTGGGATTTCTCCTCCCTTGGTGGCCCCTGGCACTTGTTGCTCTCCCGTGATCCTGCTTCTCCTCCATCCACAGTCCTGGTGACACCGTCCTCTTCTCCCAGGATCCAGCAGCAGGACAAGAGGGCTGGGTCTTCAGCTGTACCAGGGGAGGGTTAGGTTGGAGATTAGAAAGAATTTCTTTGCAGAGAGGGTGCTCAGTCATTGGAATGGGCTGCCCAGGGAAGGGGTGGATTCTCCATCCCTGGAGGTGTTTAAGGACAGACTGGATGTGGCATCAGTGCCATGGGCTGGGAACCACGGCGGGGTTGGATCAAGGGTTGGACTTGATGATCTCAGAGGTCTTTTCCAACCCAGCTGATTCTGTGATTCTGTGGCACCTGGAAAGAACCTGAACTTCTCCTTTCCCTCTTGTCCCTTTTTTTAGGATTGAGCTGTTCTAGACTGTGCAGAGCACAGGGGATGCTCCAGCCCCATCCCACCGCTATCATTTGAACCTCTGGTAATTTTTCTCTGCCAAAGTCCTGGCTGGAGGCAGCACTTGGCTCCTTCTCCTCCCCAAATATTCAGCACCCACCTTCCCCTCTGCCTCACCCCCCTCTTTTGCCAAAGCCACAGGTTTTCCAGGGCTGAGCCTGCCGAGTGACTGCATCTTTAGGTATGATTTTGTTCCCACCTTGTCCAAGAAAGGATGGGCAGCGGTCTCCAAGCTGTCCTGTTTGGACAGGTCTTCCCTCCTCTCCTGCCTTTTGCTCTTCCACTTCTCCACAGCGTTGTGGTTCAGCCTGGAAAAACCCACAGGAAAGGGGAAAAGCGTCTTTGAGGTGAACATCCTTTAATATTGCCCGTTCTGAGGGGTGGACCCTCTGCCAGGCCACCT